GAGCTGCTTCTCAGAAATGCCCTTGGCTACAAACAGCAAGACTATAAAAAACATGAGTTTCCAATGATTTTCAGATGAATGAGTGTGATTCTTCTCTAAGGTTGAGAAATTTAGAACGTCTATGACATTATTACAGCAGGTTTCATGTCTTCAGTGGAATTGGTAAACTGACAGGATTTTTCTTTTTTTTCTTTTTCTCCCCTTTTTCCTTTCTTGCTAAGAAGAAAAAGATCCTCGTCCTTCATTTGAGAACAACTGGCAACCTTCAATTTCTCTATGCAATATGAAAAATCAGTTTCACATTTACTTCAGAGCTCGACACTAGCAGCAGAGAGGGGCAGCAGCTCCCATGTCACTGCAATGTCTGACACTTTGCGAAGGCCTCTTAGGACCCCAGGTTTCGGTTGAGAAAGCAAGATGTCATTATATCCAGCTGAAGATGAGAAGGTTTAAACAGAATGGAAATGGGTGAAGAGAAGGTTTTGAAAGATACAACAAGACATTTGCACAGAGAGCTGACTGAAACCTCCTTCTCCCCAGAACCAAAGTGAGCTTCCTCACCCTGCCCATTTCCATACACACACAAAAAGCCCCACAGGCCATTTTGCAGTCACAAGAGCACAAATGAAAACCAAGCAAAATTAAATAACCCACTACGTGCTTCTGCTATCCCCAGCCACGTGTTACTCTCATTGCTTCACTCAGGGTGTCCAACGTTACTGCTGAACTACTCAAAGCACTCTGGGTGACTCCCAGTGATGGGAACATCAGCTTGTTCTGGCCAGTTCAGGTGATCTCAGAACAGGTTTGGAGAGAGTGGATCCTGGTGTAGATCATGCTGCTGAAGACAACAGGCTCTGACACAGAGTCAGCCTTTTAGCCCAAGCTAAAATTTTTGTCTCTAAAGATTTAAAAACCACTTGATTTTGTGATGGGAATGAGGGGGTACCACGTCTCTCGCACCTTCAAAAAGCTTGGCATGTAACAGCAAACACTTTTAATATGATTTAAAGGACGAGAAGTAACTATTTTCCTAGTTCATGATTGACTTTTTCAGTGAGGACACCATCTACAAAACACTTATTCTTTTCTAAGATTCCAAGCAAGACTATTTGCAGAAAACATTTTACATTGTATTTGTACACAAGGTTAAAAAACAAAAAAAAAAAACAAACAAACAAACCAGAAAACCAAAGAATGTACTTCATGGTTTGCCTACCTCTTTCAGCCAGGAAGTTTGGTTTTACTCCCTATTTCAGTCAGGAAGTTTGGTTTTACTCCAACCAAAGAATGTACTTCATGGTTTGCCTACCTCTTTCAGCCAGGAAGTTTGGTTTTACTCCTTATTTCAGTCAGGAAGTTTGGTTTTACTCCTTATTTCAGTCAGGAAGTTTGGTTTTACTCCCCAGTTCTGATTGTCAAATATTTGCAATGAATTTTTAAATAGTTAAAATTCCTGTAGACTCACTGAATGAGTTCATACTCAAGAATCAGGTGTAGAAAGGGGAGTTATGGCTTTTTACATAAACCCATCAGTGGCAAACTTTTCTCAGCTGTGTTTTGCAGACAACTAACTCAATTCCCTTTTGATTTTATACCACACTTTAATTTCCAGCATACCCATGTATGAGATCAGAATCCAGGCACAAATGCCAGCATAAATGAGGAGGGAGGTGGATATCATTCCCATCTACATGACACATCTTTCACATCAAGTGGGAAAGTGGTCAAGGGACTCCTACCCAAGCTGCTGCAAAAACATCCTACCTTCACTGCTCCTTGCATCTTTAGTGTCAGGAGAGGACCCATCCTGCTGAGAGCCCAGCACTCTCCCACTCTGACCTGGACGCTGTCCTGCAAAATGGTTTCCTCCAGACCAACCTGACCAGCTTCTTCTTCTGAAGTGTCTCATTCTGCCTATAGTCTCTTAATGTGCTCCTGTAGCATCAAATTTAAACCATCAAAACAACACGCCTTAAAGCACAATTAATAGTCTAACTTTTAACAGCAATTGCCTACAGTATGACCACTGAGATATTAAAATTGTAATAAAGCTGATTTAATAAAATGAAATCCGTTCATTTTCAGAAACAAATCCAGTTCTAGACAACGAAGAGAACAGAGAGATCAGAATTAATATTATCCTTTTCTGATATCTCTTTATTTATAAAATATTGCACACGATGACTTACATGGGTTGGGATAATGAGAAACGTACATCTCTGCTTGGGATGCCTTTCAAAGCCATCACTCATGAAATGTATAACAAATAATCACAGAATAATTATTAGTATATACCCCTGGAGAAATGAGATCAGACGGTTAAGTTTAGTCCACAATGTGTCTGAGAGGAAATTTCTCTAAATCAAATTTGATGCAGACAGTGTCCAATCAATTATGGGATTTATGCTTTTAACATGCATTTTAAATTAAACTGTTTAAATAGAGTCACAGGAGGAACATGAAGGATTTCTGTGCTGTTTGGTTTATCAGATTTCACAATATGTCATACAGGCTAAAGCTGTATACATACTGCAAATGTTCTAGGCAGGGCGCCAGAGGGAATGGGTACATCAAATGTGCTGAATATCCTCTTCTCCTCAAGGTTCTCATCCAGTACCACTGACTGCAAGGCTCCCTCTGCAAGGTTCCCTTCCTTCAGTGGGAACCACTACCACTGAAGCACTAAAAACGTTCATTTTCAGTTCATCCTATTTCTTTCTGAATTATAAATTCAAACTAGGGACTAATAAATATTTTTGTTTCCAAAAACTTCTTGAGAAAAAATTTTTTCTTTCTCTTCTACTCTCCTGCAATCCCTTAATTTGCTCCCATTCTGTGATAGCTACACAGAAAGTCTAAAAGTCTCTGTAGTAGCACACTCTGTAACATACATTAAAGAAAGTAAAAGTCTCAAACAAAAAGAGGAGAAAAGAAAGCAGTAAAAGAAGGCAAATCCCAAAAATATTTCAACCTTCAGCTTTCAGCAAGCTGAAAATTGTACAACAGGAAGAAACCTCAGGGTAAAATCCAAAGGCAGCAGAAAGGCAGTCTACCATTTAATCCTCAAAGGACATGACCATTTAGGTGCTAAGCCCTCCTGTTGGATCACAACGCAGAAATGATTATCATCCTTGGAGATCAAGCTGCAGAGAGCTTCTCTGTCATTCAGTCTTGAAATGATCTCTTTCCTCTTACAACTCATTTTCCATCCTGGCCTGCAGTCACTCATTACCACGCATTTCAGTACATGCTTACAATGCAAAGGCTGGAATGCTACACAAGGAAAACTGAATTTTCCACTCTAATATAACTGCAGGTCCGTGTTCATGTGAATATGGTGTCTCTGAGAGAAGGGTTTGAGCTAGGACAGTGTAATGAAAAGGTCTACCCTTCTGAGTTTCTGGGAGTCCTTCTTTCACAAAGAAAGTGAGAGAAACTTCATAGCGCGTGACTTTACAGGCCTCTAACTTCACCCCACATGAAAACAAGAAGAAAACCATGATCATGGTTTCAAAGTAGTCTAGCTGGGAGAAATGGAAAGTGAGCCACTGAAGCCAGTGCCAAGATCCTAGAAGGCAGACTGTCCTTTGAACTGTAAATGGGTGTGTTTTATAACCTGTTCTTGCACTCTTTGCTTGGTGTCAGATACTTTCCAGGTTAGGAGGAGGTGCTGGGTGCCTGGACCCACACCAATACCAGCATACAAGGTCTGACCCTGCCCTCTCTAAAGAGGGTTATAAAACCCCTGCTGCTGTGAGCACTGCAAGGCGTTTGAACAGGCACCCTCTGTTACAGAGATGGAACCACTGCTAGGCTGTGCACTGGGTCTCAGCTCAGCAGAGGCTGCAGGCACCTCTGCTCAGCTGGGGAAGCAGCTCACACCCATCCCTCCAGACCTGCCTCCTCATCCCTGCCGCTGTAATGCAGGATAAACAGCCAGGAGGCTGACAAAACCTAACAGAATTTAATGCTGAGGACTGTGAGGTGGCCAGCAAACATTGCAGTGTAGCTTACAGGGGTTAGAGGCTGCTGTCACAAAAGGAAAACCGGAAACCTGAGGGAAAGATTGGAAAGCAAAAGGAGATAAATAAGTAACATAACCTGCCACATTTCTGAAAGAGGGGCTGCGTTTCTCCCTGCTTTCAGCTCGGTCGGATCATACTGCAGGCAGAGGCAAATAAATACATCTAAGAGAACTACCAGGTGCAGGACCGGGCCTTTGGGATGAATTTCTCCCTTAGCACCAAACGGCTTTGTTGCAGGGGAAGACAGGAAAGATGGGCTGTGATGCTTGAGACAAGCTTTCAGGTGAGATCTTAATATCGAATGAACCTCTTTGTGGATTTCCCACTTTTGAAAATGTAAGGCTCAATGTCTGACAAGATTTTGCCTTTCCACGTTAACATGAGATGCAGGTGGCTGACAGTGGCTATGGCTTCAGAAACGTCCTTTTTCTACGAAAGGAAGTGAGTATGCAAAAATAAAATAGTATCCCCAAAATAAAATAAAATAAACAGTATCCCCAAAAAAGATTGCACTCTGCAATCTTTTTTTTTCTGTTTTTCTTTTGCCTTAAAACATATGAAAACATATGAGAAAGGAAAGAAATATGTAAAAGCCAAGAGCTTAAACACAGAAGGACTTGAAGGGACCTGCTAGGAAGGGAAGTGCCACCAGCAAAACATTGACTTGCTTTCCCTGGGAAACTCTGTGCTCCTGGGAATTCCTAATACAGGTACTGAGTTAGCACAGCCAGCACCCTCGCCAACTCAAGGAGTCCAAGACTGATGGCCAGGGGTCAGCCCTGTCATTTGGGAGGTACAGTCCCACCCAGGAAAGTATGGCCCACTGCAGGAGGATACAGTCCACACTTATTGCTTGGCAGAAGAATAAGCTGTTTCTCCTCCCCCTGAAGTGCAGTTTTGCATTGAGCCACCATTCAAGAGCTCAAGGACTGGTCTGAGTCAGTCCGGATGGGTGGACACGGGACTCATTCCTCAGATTGACAGGGTTTCCACAGCTTTCTCGTACATGCGCTCCAAGATGCGGTGGATGCTGGCAAAGCCTGGCCGGTCAGAAGGCAGCTTGCTCCAGCAGAGGCGCATCAGGTTGTAGAGCTCCAAGGGACAATTGTCTGGACAGGAGAGGACATTCCCATCCCTCACGTAGTAGATGACCTCCTCATGAGCCATCCCGTAGTAGGGCTGCATGCCATAGGAGAAGATCTCCCACAGCACCACCCCGTAGGCCCACACGTCAGACTCTGTGGTGTAGCGGTTGTAGAAAATGGACTCAGGGGGCATCCAGCGGATGGGGATGGCATCGTTCTCATTTGCCTTGTAATAATCGGCCGAATACATGTTCCTTGAGAGACCAAAATCAGCTATTTTTACAACCATGTTCTCCCCCACCAGGCAGTTCCTGGTAGCCAGGTCCCGGTGGACAAACTTGCGCTCAGAGAGGTAAGCCATGCCAGCAGCCACCTGCTTGGCAATACAGAGCTGGCTGGTGCAGCACAGCGCCAGAGGGTTGGGGAGGCAAATCCGCTCATCCAGGCTCCCATGCACCAGGCTGCAGAGGTTGCGAGGTGAGCGGTCACGCAGATACTCGTTTAGATCCCCATAGGCCATGTACTCGAACAGCAGGCACATAGGTTTCCCAACAGCACACACACCTGGAAGAAGATAAATGCACCACACAGGTCATCTGGGGAGAGAAGAGGGTTTGTGCAAAACAAAAAAATACAAAATTGCTTACAGAAAGGGGAGACTTTCAACAGTGAATGAAGAGGCAGAGAGAAAGGAAAAGCATGCAAATACCATCAAGAATGTATGAATCCCTTTGAGACTTTGGAGCTCCACCACCAGGTATCTAATGGTGAGCTCCATGGGAGATGCTGACAAGACATGCAGTTGCCTAATATGTCTGGAATCCCAGGAAAGAGATATTCTTTTGGAGCTCTGTTCAGTTAAGAGCCCAGTCCTTTTCTACAGAAATACTGTCTCTTCCCAGGTACAACTGGAAGGACGTACTTCTAGGAAGTAACCTTTATAGTTCTGATCAAGGTATTTTTTAATTCTTTTGTTTGTTGTAATTACCGTACTTACACGGATACTATTGTAGGGGCTAAGCATATGCAGAAGACTTCAGGAGTAATCAGAAGGGGCATATTCAAGGGTTCAGTGGGATACTTGAAATGCAAAGACACTCCCACTACAACTTCTTCTGCTCATAAGCTTATGCAAAAAATATTGGTTCCAGAAATTACTTTTGTCATGAGAAATACTCAAAAATGAAAGAAAGACAAATTAAAAACAGACATCAGAAAGGAGGGATTTGCCACATCTGATATATGCAGAGTCTAGTCTCACTGAAGGGGACATGCTTGGCCCTGCACCAGCTTTACTGGGGTTCAGCATCAATACAGGACCCCACTTCCACTATTTTTATTGAGCAAAAAATGACATGGCAAAAATTTTTGCATGCCTATTATTAAGTTGCCAACAAGCAAAACCCAGCATTTAAAATGTATGTGTTTTGCTTTCTTAGGGCCATCATTTAGCGACTGCTGAATCTGTGAAATCTGAAATTCTTGTTGATGACCTAACACTTGAATCTTTGAGGAAACAGACAGCTGTTCCTAGTGTGATAAAGGGTTGGAGAATTCACAACTTCCTTGGGCAACCTATTCCAGTGCCTCACCACCCTCACTGTGAAGAACTTCTTCCTCATATCTAACCTAAACTTCCCCTGTTTAAGTTTAAAGCCATCACCCCTTGTCCTACCACTACAGTCCCTAATGAAGAGTCCCTCCCCAGCATCCTTGTAGGCCCCTTTCAGATGCTGCAAGGCTGCTATAAGGTCTCCACACAGCCTTCTCTTCTCCAGGCTGAACAGCCCCAACTTTCTCAGCCTGTCTTCATATGGGAGGTGCTCCAGTCCTCTTATCATCCTCGTGGTCCTCCTCTGGACTTGCTCCTACAGCTCCATGTCCTTTTTATGTTGAGGACACCAGAACTGTACACAATACTCCAGGTGAGGTCTCACAAGGCCAGTATGGACAGAGCCTTGGGCGACATAGTTTAGTGTGTGGTGTCCCTGCTCATGGCAGGGGGGTTGGAACTAGATGATCTTAAGGTCCTTTCCAACCCTAACTATTCTATGATTCTATGATTCTGTGATCTGACAAGCATGAGGAGTGTATGTGAAAGCTTTATTGTCTAAGCTGTCTTCAACAACATGGTTTTTCTCCACACCCCCATGATCTGAAACTAGTTTGTTCCTGTACCTTTGCCCTTTCCTGACCTAAAGAGTATTGACAATAAATGCAACATTTATTTGAGTTTGGGGCATTTCCTGCTTTTCATTTCTGTAGCTAAAGTACTTCTATCAACCCAGCTTTCCCAAACCTGGGATTTATCTATTTCCAAATTTTGTGCAGCTTCCTACAGAAATAAATTAAGATCTCAGCTGCCTGTTTGCAGGGATCAGGTCTGCATACAATAACTTAGAGCAGGATTGACAGGTGAAGGTGGCAAGCAACGTCTACTTCAGTCAAAACCTGAAAGTTTACTGAAATAAAATTTGGTAAGCAGCTTTCTTCACAGAACGGTGCACTATTAGCCAAGCTGCAGCATTGAGACTCTCTAAAAAACCCAATAAACCAAGGTTTCCTTTCAGCTGGGGAGGGAAGGAATAGACCATTATTGTGGCTGGCTTTTCTTGTTTATTTGTTTCATTTTGTTTTTTTCAATGCTGATGATTGTTCAGACATCACAATAGTAAGTGAGACCCATAAAACTAACAAGACTTGTGCCTGGCTTTTTTTTAAGTACCTGTAAAATAAATCACAGCTCCAGGAAGCTTATGCCTTCCCTGTAAGACATGTGCCAATGTTATAAAACTGGAAGCAGAGTTAGGTAACAAGACGGTCAACAATATACTCAGTGCAGGACAAGGAGGTTTTATTACAATGCACCATCCTGTTAAGGCAACAGCATCATTTTATGTGTCAAGGCAACAACACAAAACCTACATTTTGAGATTTGTTCTGGTGGACAATTTAGCAGAGCATGCAGTGGCACATAGGAAAGATCACTAGCACTGAATGTGTGTTCATCCCTGCACCCCCAACAACCTCATAGCGGATTTGTGGAAGGTGGTACACTGTACGTAGGTGTCTTATCTAGATACCTAAAAGCTTGACGATATTTGGATTGTCAAACTCTGCCATGAGGGCTGCCTCCCTCTGAAAGTCAGCCTGCATGTCTGCTGACGCTTCCTCCTTCAACATTTTCACTGCAACCATTGTGAAAGACTCAAATGGCAGCAGACCTGGAGCCCTGCAGAGAGAAGATAGAAAGGAAAGCATCAGTGATGGATGCATGCACACTAAATGTAGGACTCTGCTTCTGGTGCAAAAGGATAGGCTGATAGAAGAAAAAAAGAAAAAAAAGGGTGGAAAGCCCCATCACTGACTGAAGACACATGAAAGACCATCTTCACCTCTTGGGTATGCCTGCATTGCATAGTACAGAAACATGTAATTTAGTTCAGGGGAAACTAAATCCAGTGCAGCTGCTTTTTATCACTGCTTTTTCTGCTTACAGGCTCTTTACCATGACTAATAAGGAGTTAAGTAACTAACAGGTTGGTAAGAAATAACCTCTTCCTGGTTTGGAGGACACATCAGAAACTTCATGGAAGGCAGGATGGACTCATCAGACCAAATAATTCACTTTTGAGGTGTAATGACTGAGCTTATCAGAGTTAAAAATAAACCTGATTTATATGAAAATGTTGAAAGCCTCTTTCACTGTGTCTTGTCCCATACTTGGCACCAGGGTGGCATTGGTACATCTGGCTACTATTAGAGTGGAAGTAACAATTACAGTAAGTATGTTTCCGTGGGTTTGTAAGAAAAATAGCTTTTTGCCACTGTTCTCTGTTTGTGCGTGTGCCTGTAATTCAACAAGCTGTAAATCATCAGCTAATTTCAGCTGAAATTAACGTGGTGGAGCTGAGGTATAGGAAGTTGCTATGTTCCTGCAAGTCTTGTGGAAACAGGTGACAGAACAGAAGGGACAAAGCAGACATGTGCCATGTCTGAAGAACAAGGTAATGAGCGAATAAGTCCATACGAAGACACACTGAATATTTAACTAGAGCTTAGAGACACAAATCCATAGGAAACACAGCTTCCTGACTTAGAGCAGTTACAGACTCATTTCGGTTTCTTATCCAAAGGTCAGTGCACCCTCAACAAGTTTAATTACATAGGCTTGCCAAAGATTTAGGAGTAGCTGTTGACAAAGAAGAGTAACTTCCCACTCTTCAAACATGAGTCAGACTTCAGACGTGCATTTTGTTGCCCATGCAAATTCTTCCCAGGAGTCCTTCAGTTAAAACACGTTCCTTACATGCATTCAGCCAGAGCCCATGGAGAGTTGTGCCCATTTACGTGTCATGTTACTATGCCAGCCTGACTGCCCTGCCATAGCTCAAATGCCAGGTTATTTTACTGCTCAGTAGCCCCAAGACGAGGTTCCAATTTCCAAAGCAAACTTCCAGTTTCCTTGTCATCTACTTGATACATGTGGCAGTTGCAACAGTTGCACTTGGATGCTGTAAATGTCAAATGTCAGAAGATGGCAGAATGCCCACTGAGAAAGAAATCTCACAGGTGGCCAGATGGCAGCTGAGACACTCGGGTGAGGAGGTCTGGCGTGCTGGAGCAGAGGGGCAGGCTCCACACTTGTCTGCTACTTACTTACTTATTACACACACTTGCCTCCATTGTAGCAAAACGTCTTCCTTTTTTCCCTCAGTGCTGGCAGTAAGTTTCCAGTCTAGGAGAAGGGAAGAAGCACCAGCACCTACCAGCTGCTGTCTAATATCAGTGCTGGAGAAAGTCAGCAACAGCCTAAAGAAACCAGTAAAGTATTTAAAAGTAAAAATAGGAGTTCCTTTATCTCTTCCAAACAGCCTCATTGCAGATTAACACTCATCACTGGCTAACAGATCTAGTGCAGTGCCAAAGCAAAGGCAGGCACAGCTCCATCTTCCATGCTTTGGAGAGAGAAACTCACTCCAGGCTAAAGCCTGAAGTACACCCATCCATTTACCCTTCATTGAAATCCTGTAATGTAAACTAACCTAAATGTAATTTAACTGAGATTAAGCTGCGCAAAGCCTTTTAATGGGCCTTTAAGCAATAGCAAGTAATTTCACCATTGGTAATGTGTGCTGATTCAGCCCATTTCTTAGCAGACCTGGGAAATTCACACTGATTGGAACAAGGACAGACTGCAGTCTTTGCCGAGAGCTAGTGAAGCTGACCTCTTCGGTGCCTAAAAGGCAGTGTTTGCACAAATGGATAGGGGCACATTTGCAAGGGAACAAGAGGAAGCCACTGCTTCTGAAGTTAACCAGGAGAATTCTGGCAGCATGCTGGAACATGGAGTGCTTTCTACAAAATAGGTAAATTTCTCATAGAACTGGGCAGCATCAACAGAAATTACCTTGGGTTTCCTCTCTCATGATTGTCTAAATGCTTAGGAGAAGTATCCACTATTCATGGAACAGACAGTGGCTGTCCTCACCTTCTTTGCCATCAGTGATTTGTG